ATATGAACCAGAATATGTCAAACAAATGTTGGAAATGTAAGAGTCATGAAGGCTCATTTTACCATATGTGGTGGACTTGCGAGAAAGCTGTAGACTATTGGACAAAAGTCCACAAAGAAATGCAAAAAATACTGAAATGGTCTTTCAAAAAGACACCAGAAATTCTGCTTTTGGGACTGAAAATGGAAGAAATCAATACGACTAAAAAGACTTTATTCTGGTACTTAATTACAACAGCGAGAATGATTTATGCACAATTTTGGAAAACAGAGAAAGTGCCAGAAATCGAAGACTGGATACAAAAAGTTCTGTTCATGGCAGAAATGGACAAAATTACGAAAAAGTTGAATAACAAAGAGGATGACGTTTTTTTTCAAGAATGGAGTGACTTTAAAACATATCTGGAAAAGAATTGGGATGTGAAACAAAACTTAATATGTTTAGATCAATATTAAGTCAAATGATGTTATCTTGAGATTGTAATGATAAGAAAATGATATAATTGATGATGTAAAGTAACGTGGAGTAGGGGGGGAAGCATTGCGGGAAGCCACCGGAGGGAGGGGAGGAAATGGGAATGGGGTAGACAATGGAAAAGATGAAATGATTTAATTATAAATGTTGAATTCCTAAGAAAATAAAATTTGTTTACCAAAAAAACAACTGCTTTCCAGATGGCAGAGATCAGTTCCCCTGGAGAAAATGGTGGCCTCTTATCCTTATATGCTGCTGAGGTGGCCCCCATATGACAGCCAATGTGACGTAGCAGTCAGGGCTTCAGAGCACGAGAGAGGCTGCAGGTGTGTGGGCGGTGGAAAGCTGAAGAGTGAGGGGGAAATAATTAGCTGGGAAGGAGATAGAGTTGCCAACTCCAGGTGGGAAATTCCTGGAGATGTGAGGGATGGAGCCTTGGAGCGAGTGAGGTTTCAGGAGGCGTGGGACCTCGGACAGGTACAAAGCCATAGACTCCACCCTAGTATGTTATAATTAAGAAGCTCTTGCTATTGCATCTGAGATGTTTACAGCTTATCACTGTCTTCTCTATTCCTGTAGCCTATATGTTTCATTAGCATTTGTTAAATGTTGTCCTAATCATAAGAACATAAGAACATAAGAGATGCCAATGTTGGATCAGGCGAAGGGCCCATCCAGTCCAACACTCTGTATCACACAGTGTCCAGAAATACCAGGTGCCATCAGGAGGTCCACCAGTGGGGCCAAGACATTAGAAGCCCTCCCACTGTTGCCTCCCCCCAAGCACCAAGATGACAGAGCATCACTTGCCCCAGAGTCCCTATCTATACCTTGTGGCTAATAGCCACTGATGGACCTCTGTTCCATATGATTATCTAATTCCCTTTTGAAGCCGTCCATGCTTGTAGCCACCACCACTTCCTGTGGCAGTGAATTCCAAGTGTTAATCACTCTTTGGGTGAAGAAGTACTTCCTTTTATCCGTTCTAACCTGACCGCTCAGCAATTTCATGGAGTGCCCACGAGTTCTTGTATTGTGAGAAAGGGAGAAAAGTACCTCTTTCTCTACCTGCTCTTTCCCATGCATAATAAACCTCAATCATGTCACCCCTCAGTCGTCATTTCTCCAAGCTAAGAGCCCTAAGCGCCTTAACCTTTCCTCATAGGGAAAGTGTTCCAACCCTTTTATCATTCGAGTTGCCTTTTCTGCACTTTTTCCAAAGCTATAATATCCTTTTTAAGGTGTGGTGACCAGAATTGCACACAGTATTCCAAACAAGGTCGCACCATTGATTTATATAGGGGCATTATGATATTGGCTGATCTGTTTTCAATACCCTTCCTAATAATCCCCAGCATAGCATTGGCCTTCTTTATTGCAGTCACACACTATCTCGACATTTTCAGTGAGTTATCTACTACAACTCCATCTCTCTCTTGATCAGTCTCTGCCAGTTCAGACCCCATCAACGTGAATTTATATTTAGGATTTTTGGCTCCAATGTGCATCACCTTGCACTTGGCCACACTGAACCCCATTTGCCACATTGACGCCCACTTGCCCATCTTTGACAGATCCTTTTGGAGTGCCTCACAATCCTCACTGGTTTTCACCACCCTGAACAACTTCTTATAATCTTATAATGTCCCTAATTTCTGTACTTATATTGAATTCAATAAACTGTTCTTTAAAAAAAAAATGACAGGAAAAGAGAGAGAGATTAGTAACTCCGCTAACTCATGTCCAAGAGCAAAATTCTATGGATTGAATGAGAATAATTCTGTGCATTTTATATTATGCTATAATACTGTCTCTTGCTGCGTCTCGGTTGAACAATAGGAATTCTGCAGAAGGACCATTCGGTCCATAGAATTTTGCTCTTGGACAAGAGTTAGTGGAGTTACT